TATTTGGAATTGTATTTTAAATGCTTTCGTTGGTTTGGAAATCTTATATGGAGCCTATGTTTCTAAAGAAAATTTACATGAATCCATTCTTACAATATTTCTTATTCTGAATAGCTTAGCCCATAGGTTGAATGTACAGATATCACTGGCAAGAAAGCAGGATAATAAAAATATCCTAGGCATTACATTTGTTAGGTTGAGTTGTACAATAATATAGAAATAGAATGGTTGTAATAGCTTATCAGAGGCTGCAGTCTTTACCCCTAGACTGCAGACTGTACCACATGCTTTTAACACGGCACAGTAAATGATGCACCCTTTAGACTTGGAGAAAATGGGCTTTTCTTTACTTCTTTTCCAATGTAACAAACTACAGTGTCTGTCTTCTCACAGTCTGGCTTTTTCTTTTTTTCTATTCTAGTAATCTACTGCTCTCAGTGTCTGGCACTGCCTGAAATCGTCACCATTAATCAGGTTCTTTCTTTTTCCCCTTCTCTGCCCTATTTTTCTTGTCATTGCTTCCATTCTTCTTGGCTTTCAGTGAAACTGTCAACACTTTCAGTCAACTAATCTTATTACCACTTTCCTTCTATATGTCGAACAAACCAATAATGGCTGTATATATACTGCAGTCACTGGCTCTTTTTGATAGTGTTATTTCCAGTTGCTCTGGGAAATTTTTTCCCCTTAAACCAAAGGATCTTTTTATTTTTACTAACTTCTTGGTCTGGAACAATGAGAAATAAACTATCCTAGAAGCCTGTGTTTTTAGGAAGACAGGTCTCTAAATAGATAAAGGTAAAATTTTACCCACGGTGAGAAATTTCCTTTCTTTATCTGAGTCAATGATTCCTAAAAGGCATTTGTGGAACTTTAATATGCTATTTTGAGAATTTTTATGATTCCTTCTAAGTTATATGAATGGTTTATGATATTCCAAACTTCAGGATTCACTTTCTTCTCTATCAGTGATGATACTATTTCTTTTTATGCTTTACAGATATGTACAGGGTGGGGCAAAGGGTTACAGTGTGAGTACACAAAACAGTATATATATATTCTTTGTATCTTTGTTGTATTTATTTATTTATTTAATTTATTTTTTTATCCTCACCTGAGGACATTTTTGCATTTATCTTCGGATAGAGCGGGAGGGAAAGAGGGAGGAAGAGAGAGAAACATCAATGTGAGAGAGACACATCAAGTGGTTGCCATCCACATGACCCCAACCAGGGCCAGGGACGAACTGCACCAAGGTACGTGCCCTTAGCAGGAACCGAACCCTGGACTCTCAGGTCCACAGGCCAACACTCTACCTGCTGAGCCAAACTGGCCAGGGCGAAACAGTATATTCTTATATTATTTATTATGTATTGTATTATTTTCCATACAAACAACTCTTAACCTACTTTTGCCCCACCCTGTATACTATGAGTGATCTTAAACAAGTAATAGTTATGCCAACTTTATATTTTATTAGTCTACAATGCTGCTTTTAGAAAAATGGGAGGCAGCATGGAATAATGGGAAAAGTACTAATGGAGGAATCAAGAGGCCTGAGCTCAAGAGATCTAGCTCAGGTAATAAAGTAATTTCTTATGCAACTTTGGGCAATTAAAAAACCTAAAGGGACCTCAGAGGCTTCATTTGTAAATTTAGAGAAGAGGTGCTTAAAGTGCTTTCTAGCTCTAAAGTTACATGATAACTAAATAGTAAAATCTGTACATGAGTAGTAATTGGCTGTTTCTTCATATTTCTCAAACAGAAAGAAAGCCATATGTATTACAATGATGATAAAAAAAGATTTCACCATATTTCCCCATTTACATTTTTTACAAAAGGAAATTTCACTTAGTAGAAAAACACCTGACTCATTAAAGAGGGAACAGATCAGCAAGATCCAATGAGCAGATCAAGTCTTCAAGCTCAAGTGAATCATAGCAAATTTGAGATAAACCACTTCTGAGAAAGGATTGTTTCTTTTTCTCCCTCCCTTAGTCTCTTTCCATTAAGGCAGGCCATGATCTGAAAGATACAGCTGGCCCTTACAGACAATGAATGATTCACATAAGCAAATACACGCCATTTTGTGAAGAGAAAACATCAAAGCTAACTGATGTCTTAAATAGGCAGACTAAATCCAGAATAAGTTCAAATTATCCAACATGCTAAGAACACTGATTCTTTCTTTCCTTCCTTCCTTCCTTCCTTCCTTCCTTCCTTCCTTCCTTCCTTCCTTCCTTCCTTCCTTCTTTCTTTCTATTTTTATGCTCACCCGAGGACATTTTTCCATTTATCTTCAGACAGAGCAGGAAGGAGAGAGGAAGGGAGAGAGAGAGGGAGAAACATCAATGTGAGAGAGACAGAGCAACTGGTTGCCACCCACACAACCCCAACCGGGACTGGGGACAAACTGCAACTGAGGTACGTGTCCTTAGTGGGAACTGAACCTGGGGGCTGACACTAACTGCTGAGCCAAACCGGCCAGGGCCTGATTTTTGTTTTTTAAGCAAGGCCTTTGTCAAAGTTGCCAAGCATACTGGAAAGGTAAATTTATTTACTTATTTATTTTAAAATATTTTTTCTTTATTGATTTTAGTGAGAAAGAAAAGGAGAAAGAGAGGGAGAGAGAAACATTAATAAGAGAGAACATCGACTGGCGGCCTCCTGCATGCCTCCCAGCAGAGATCAGGTCCACAGCCTGGGCCAGTGCCCTGACCAGGAATCAAACTGGCGACCTCCTGGTACGTGGGTCAATGCTTAACCAGTGAGCTACACCGGCCGGACTGGAAAGGTAAATTTAAATCAGTAATTAATTACTATTGCTGCTGCTGCTACAATTACTGTTACTATTACTACTGTTATTTCCTCTAACTATATATAGGGTGATTCCTACTTGCCAGGCATGGGGCTAAGTGCTTCACAGATATTATCAACTCATTTAATCTTCATAACAACCCTATTGAAATAGGTATTATTATTAATTCTTTTGCTCATATGAGAGAACTGTGATAGAGAAAGTATAAGTAATTTATTCAAGGTCATAAAGCAAGTAGCAAGGTTAGGACTCCAACATAGGAAGTGCAAGCTCACTACTATTATCCTATGGTTGCTTATATTAGCTAATACTTATTGAGTACTTACTATGTACCAGACATTGTTCTAAAACACATAACATGTATCAACTCCTTTAATTCTCATAACACCCTATGAGGGAGATTACTGTTATTACTCTCAATGTACAGATAGGGAAAATAAGGCCCAGGATGTCACTTTTTCACAGAGTTATTTGCATTTAAAAGGAAGTTACTCTTTATTTAGTAAAGAATACTTTTCTAATTAATACATATCTTCAGAAAGAATTGCTATTATTCCATTTATTTTCCTCTTCTTATAAAGTAAGTTGTCATAGGTCTCTGCTACCTTTCCCTCCATATAAAGTGACACTAGACAATATAGAATGCCAGAGTGAGGAAAGGAATATGGCACTTAAGTGCAGATTTCCCCCTCTACATCTCTCCCTTACCACCTTCCACGAATTCTTTTAATGCCCCAAAGGGTTATGGTAGTCAAGAACAAACTGGATTCATGTTCTCAGCAGTACACTTCTGTTTTGTTTTTTAATTGATTTAGAGAGAGAGGAAGGTAGAAAGACAGAGAGAGAAACATCAATGTGAGAGAGAAACATCGATCAGCTACCTCCCACATGCATCCGGACTAGGAATCAAATCCATAACCCTCGTATGTGCCCTGACCAGGAACCAAACAAGTAATCCTTTGGTGCATGGGACAACATCCCAACCAACCAAGCCACCTGGCCAGGGCTGCACTTCTGATTTATAAGCGATGTGTTGCTAAGAGCAAGACCTCTAGCATGTTCCTATAGGAAGGAAAAAGTAATACTTAAAACACAAAACTAGGTTATTCACGGACTAATAACCATTAATTCTAAGGCCAAATTAAGAATATAAAGATCAAAAGCATTTCAAAATAGACTGCTGACATGATACCCAATGTTCCCATATTCCTACCTACAATCACCATCATTATCTATCTACAAGGTCTTTGAAGTCATTTGCCTACTTTTATTCTTTCAGTGACACTTCGAGTCTACCTTATCCAATTAAAATATTTTACATGTGAAAACAACTACTAAAATCTGCAAAAGGGAAAAAGAACTAGGCAGAATAATGAGGTAAATAATGTAAACAATCTACCAATATTCCGATAAACAATGACAGAAAAGGACATATAGGAAAATATGAATAAAATTATTAGAATTTTGGTTAGTAATCATTTGGCAACTGACAATGAGTCAATATATCAACTGGCTCTCCAAAAATGGAGAATTTGATTCCTGAAATTACTTTTTTCAGTTTTCTAATTCTAAAAAAAAACCCTTCTATGTTTCAAATTATCATTCACTAATGATAATTTCTTCAATTCTTTAGCTGGAAAATGGCAGGTTATCATTTAGAAATTGCATTCTAATATTAGTTCTGAAATTAACTTTCTTGAATAGATAATCACCCAAGGGCCTTCAATTTTTTGATGAAGAAAGTGAAATAATGAAGGATAATGTAAACAATGTGGTTGAGATACCACTGGATTTAAAGTCAGTCCTTAGATTTGATCACAGAATGTCCACTCTGAGCAAGAAATTCAGGTTACCTTTAATCCCAGCCTCAGGTTCCGCACAGGTAAAATGGATATAATACCACCTTCCTCACGAAGACTATGAGGATTAAATAAGATATGTAAGATGTATATACATGCACCCGCATGCCCAATATTACCTTCCTCACAGAGTTGCTGCAAGGAGGAAATTTATGTGGAAGTGTAAGCACAGAGCCTGGTAAATAGTAAGTATCATATGGGTAATCATTTCTTTCCCCTTCAAATCTTTAAGTTGGAGCATTTTATTACTGGCTAGTAGACATACAAAGTCTGTAGAACTGAAAATCCTATGAAAAATGTAGATAAACAGAAATCTTACTTACATATTTGACATAATCTTTCCACTGCTGCCACCACTGCATGGAGATGATAAACCAATTGTGTCCTGGTTGCAGACCATACCTGCTCTCCCGTTCTAACCATCCTCTGTACATACAAAAGAAATTCAGTACATCAAAGGGTATGTAAAACAGATGACCACACACCCACAAATTATCATTAGCAATTTTTAAAAAGGAAAAACATGAAACAAATAGATATACTTGGGAGATTGCTATAATTTCAATTATTAAATAAGCTAATTTCAGGGAGACATAATACCACTGTCAAGCCTCACTCGTACTGATGTTTTAAAAACAGCTTTAGCCTTGGCCGGTTTGGCTCAGCGGTTAGAGCGTCAGCCTACGGTCCAGAGAGACCAGGGTTCGGTTCCCGCTAAGGGCACCAACCTCGGTTGCAGTTTGTCCCCGGCCCTGGTTGGGTCATGTGGGTGGCAACCATTCAATGTGTCTCTCTCACATCGATGTTTCTCTCTCTCTTCCTCCCGCTCTATCTGAAGATAAATGCAAAAATGTCCTCGGGTGAGGATTAAAACAAAACAAAACAAAACAGCTTTAGCCCTAACCAGTTTGGCTCATCAGCCCATGGAGTCACTGGCTCAATTCCAGTCAAGGGCACGTACCTCGGTTGCAGATCGTCCCTGGTCCTGATCGGAGTCGTTTGGGAGGCAGCCAGTTGATGTGTCTCTTTCACATCAATGTTTCTCTCGCGCCACCCCACCCCCCATCTGAAGATAAAAGGAAAAATGTCCTCGGGTGAGGAGTAAAAAAAAATTAAAAACAGCTTCATTGAGAAATATTTTATATTAACATACAATTTACCTGGATTAAGTGTATAACTCAATGATTTTGATGAATTTACAGACATGTGCAACCATCACAATCCAACTTCAGAATATTTCAATTACCCCAAAAAGATACCCTGTACCTATTTTTAGTCAATCTGTGTTAGTACCGTTAGACCCAGAAAACCACTAGTCTATTTTCTATCTCTTATAAAACTTCCCTTTTGTGAACATTTCATATAAGTGAAGTGCTGTAACACAGGTCTTTTACATCTGGTCTCTTTTAGCATGTTTTGAAGTTCATCTGTTATAGCAGGTATCATTAGTTTGTGCTTTTTTTATTTTTTATTTTTCTTTATTGATTTTAGACAGAGAGGAAGGGAGGGAAGAGAGATAGAAACATCGAACAGAGAGAACAAAGATTGGCCGCCTCCTGCATGCCCGGCACTGGGGATTTGGCCCACAACCTGGGCATGTGCCCTGACCAGGAATCAACGGGCGACCTCTTGGTGCATGGGTCGATGCTCAACCACTGAGCCACACCAGCTGGCCAGTTTGTGCTTTTTAATCACTAAATAGTATTTTGTTTATCCATCTAACATCTAATAACTTGAAACTGGCCAGCAGAAAGTTTCTGCAAAGTGGTTGTACCATTTAACATTCCCATTAGTAACGTATGAGAGTTCTATTCTAGTTTCTCCACATTCTAGTCAACATGTCTGCCTTTTCTATCATAAATGTTCTAGTGGATGTGAAGTGGTATCACATTATGATTTTTAAAACACTGTATTTATTGAAAAATTCACATAAGGTAGTGGTTGGACATTTTGAATATACTGTTACTGAATTGTACATTTTAAAATGGTTAATTTTGTTATATCAATTTCTTCAAAACATTTTCATACATCCCAACACAGCAGGGATACATTAAGCAGTTTTTCCCTATTACTCCCTTTCCCCATGCTTTGACAATTATCAATCTGTTTTCTGTACCTATGGATTTACCTATTCTGAATATTTCACATAAATGGAATCACACAGTACGTGACCTACTGTGTTTGGCTTCTTTCATTTGTGAGGTTCATCCATGTTATAGCATGTATCACTACATCTTTCTGTTTTATGGCTGAATAATACTCCACAGTATGTATATACTACATTTGCTTTACCTATTCATCCACTGATAGTTATTTGGGGCTGTTTCCACCTTTTGCCTATTTTGAATAGTGCTGCCATGAACATCTGTGTAGATCCTGTTTTCTTTTTGTTAATCCTCAGATATTTTTCCATTGATTTTTTGAGGGAGTGTAAGGGAGAGAGGGAGGGGGAGAGAGAGAGAGAGAGGGAGAGAGAGAGAGAGAGAGAGAGATTGATTGCCTCCCTTACGACCCCGACCCCGACCGTGGATCGAACCTGCGACCCTTTGGTCCCAGGGCCGATGCTCTAACTGCTGAACCAAAGCAGCCAGGGCGCATGTTTTAAAAATTCTTGCAGCATACCAGTGCGCTGCGCATATCATTTGAAAATCACTGGTCTAGAAAATAGAGAGGTGAAAACATAGGGGTCTTTTCAGGTTTATTCTGAGTGTTTACTTTGCCAATAGTATGTGCAAAGCTTTCCAAATTTCCTAGTATACAGTGCACTTTTGAATGCCCTAATTTTCCAAGGAAGCTCTCCATCTTTTACTCCTAGACTTTTGGTTTTCTGTTGTATGATTCGAATGTAATCTTTTGCCCCAGATAGCTGCTGTTTATTCATTTGGCTTACAATATTTTCGAGGAATGCCCACTGCTTTTCCAGTCTGGTTAAGTTCTCAGGTGAACCAGAGATAAGCTCCTTGCAAGAGTTTTTCAGGTAAACCCAGACAGATTAAAACAGATAACTCGAATCTTTATGAATAAGGTATGTTTGTTTTGCCTAAAATCAGGGACCAGTTGCCCAAACTGGGAACATGGGCTGATACCTTCAAAACTGACAATGAACCAGGCAAGGGTAAACAGAAATGCCAGAGAGTTTTTCAAATGTTTTTAAGTTGGCTTTTTTTTTTTTTTATTCAGCATTTGCTTGGTTGCTATAAACCTTTGACCTCTTCAAGAGTTCTAACAAAGTTTATTTTGACAGTTTTTCCTTTATTTTCAATGTTTCTATGGCGAGACAGGCTCTTGGAGCTACCTACTATATCATTTTCACTGAGTTATTTCCCTTACTGTCCTTTTTTTTTACTTAATCCTCACTGGAAGATATTTTTCCACTGATTTTTAGATAGAGTGGAAGGGAGGGAGGGAGAGATAAACATCAATGTGAGAGACACGTCAATAGGTTGCCTTCCGCACAATCCCTACCAGGGCCGGGATCAAACCTGCAACCCAGGTACATGCCCTTGACTGGGAATCAAAACAATGACCCTTTGGACTTCAGGCCAACGCTCTAATTGCTGAGCCAAACTGACCAGGGCCCCTCACTGTTTTTTGTGTTGTTTTTTTAATTTTTTTTTTTTTTTTTATCCTCACCAGAGGACATTTTTCCTTTTTTTGTTCAAATAAAGTGGGAGGGAGGGAGGAAGGGAGGAAGGGGGGGGGGGGGAGAGAGAGAGAGAGAGAGAGAGAAACATTGATGTGAAAGGGACACATTGAGTGGCTGCCACCGCATGACCAACCAGGGCCGGGGACAAACTGCAACCGAGGTAGGTTCCTTTAGTGGGAATCAAACTCGGGTCTCTCTGGACCACAGACCGACGCTCTAACTGCTAAGCCAAACCGGCCAGGGCCCCCTCACTGTTCTTTTAACGTGCCGTCCCCAAAGATACTGCTGGGCATCTTTTCATGGGTGTATTAGCCATTCATTTATATATATTTGGTGAAATGTCTATTAACGTTTTTTCCCCCACATTTTTATTAAATTACTTAATCTGAAAACACATCTGTTATCAGATATATGACTTGGAAATATTTTCTCCCAGTCTGTGGCTTAATGGTGTTTCATGAAACAGTTTTTAATTTTGACTATGACCAATTTATCATGTCTTTTTATTTATGGATTGTGCTTTTGGTGTTATATCTAAGAATGATTTGGCCAACCCCAAATCGCAAAGATTTTCAATGTTTCCCCCCACCCAGAAATGTCAACAGTTTTAGCTCACATTTTAGTCTATGGGATCCACTTTCAGTACATTTTTGTGTATGGTATGAGGTAAGGGTCCAAATCTTTAGAACCTTGTGCATATCCAATTATCCCCGTACCATTTGTTGAAAAGACAACCCTTTCTTCATTGACCCTTCTTAGCCAAAATGTAGGAAACCAACTGACCTAATATATAAGAATTTTTTTTTCTAAAATGTCAGTTCAGTTTGATTGATCTATATCTAAACTTAAGGTAGTTCCACAGTCTTGATTAACGTAGCCTTACAGTAAGTATTGCATTCAGCAAGTTCAAGTTCTCTAATTATGTTCATTTTTGAAGTTGTTTAGGCTACTCAGAGTTTTTTGCATTTCTATATAAAATTTAGGAATATGTTGTCAATTTCTACAAAAATTTGGGAGAATTGCAATATTGATACTACTACTTTAAAAATCCATGAATGTGGAATGTCACTCCACTTACTTAGATTTCATTTCTCTCAGCCAGGGTTACTTTTCAGTGTACAAGTCTCACACTTCTTTTGACAAATCTGTTCAAAGGATTTTATTTTTATTCTGCTGTGAATGGATTATTGTCTTAATTTTATTACTTTCAAATTATTCAGTGCTTGTGAACAGCAATTCAATTGATTTAAAAATATATATACAGTCATGCTCTGCTTAACGATGGGATACATTCTGAGAAATGTGTCATTAGGTGATTTTGTCATTATGCAATTATTGTGGAGTATATTTTCAAAATCTATATGGTACAGCCTACTACACACCTAGGTATATGGTAGAGGCTACTGTTCCTAAGCTACCAGCCTATACAGCAAATCATTGTACAAAACAACACGAGATTAAACCAAGCACACCAGAAAATAATGCAATCAAAAAATGCAGTAAACAAGAGATGTATGAGACTGTTGCTGTCATAACTCAGCATACTGTTTTACACAAAACTTTTTTAATAAGTAGAGAGTACACTCTAAAATAAAATCTTATACTGTACATAATTGTATGTGCTATACTTTTATATGACTGGCAGTACAGGAAGTTTGTTTACACCAATGTCATCAAAAATAGTTGAGTGATGCACTTTGCTAAGATGTCATGAAAGCTATATCATGGTGTCTATGATGGTTATGACATCACTAGGCAATAGAAATTTCTCAGCTCCCAT